TGACGTGGGCTGTCCCATCATCCAGGGGCAGTGGGTCAGGTCAGGGGGCTGATATGGAGTGGTCGGATCACCTAATGCTCCATCTGGATGCACTTGGGTGGGGATGCAGAGGGTGGGGGCTGGGAGATGACACGGGGTGGGCTGCACAGGCTGGGCCCCAGTGAGTGCCATAGCTGGGGTGGGGGTGGGGTGCTGTTGAGGCCCTTACTGAAGCAATGCGGTTGCTCACAGTGGCTCTGGGGTCGATTGGGTTCCTCATTCTCACTCTGGGCTCTGACTTGATGGGCCGGTGGTTTTCATGGGCCAGGCTTCTCTGTGTCTTATGGATCTCAGAGTTGAGCTCCTTAGCTCTTTTCAGCCCCTTGTTGGGAAGCCGTCGTTTCCTGCGCATCTTCACTTTCTTGTCCTCTGGGCCTTCAGCTCCCTCAGTGCTGGGCCTAGCGGTGGGTGAACTAGAAGTGAGTGGTCACTCTCCCGGGCCTTGGGGGGCTTCAGGCAGATTGTCCTCTGGTTCCTGCTGGAAGCGCCGAAGGGGCTCGTTGGCCAGTGCCAGCCGGTCCTCGGTGTTTTGCCGGGACCTCACCTTTTCCGGAGAAGCTCATCTTCTTTGCGAGGTTTTCGCGGCTGCTGGAAGCAAGTGAGACCGGATCTCCACCCAGGGCTGAGGCTGCTGTCCAGGGCGGCCTCGGGAGAGGAGAGAGGAGGAACCGGGGACGTTCGAAACAGGAGGCTCGCTTTCCTCCACTCAGCTCCTGGGGCTTCTGTTTCCGCTTCCTTCTCAGGTACACATCTTCAGACTTTCCGCAGGATGCCATCAGGAGGGACCTTCTTGGGGTGCTCGTCTGACCTGCGCCAGGCCGTCTCCTCACACTCACCGCTCCGTTTGGCAGGCTCCAACCCGTCCTTGTCCCGGCTCATCTTCTGCTCCTTGAGCGGATCCGGGCAGGTTGGAGGCGTCCTCAAAGCCAGGGCCACGGTGTTGCTGGTCGGCTTTCCTGGTCTCGCTGGTGTGGTGACACTTCGGACACTCCCAGCAGCTGGGAAGCTAGGCGTTGACCATTCCTTAATCTTCAGGCTTCCAGGCGGATGATCTCCTGGCAGATGGAACACTCCATGAGCATGAGGTTACACTTGCCTTCTTCCTGTCTACTGTGTCCTCCTTCCCCGCCCCGCCACACAAGGCACACAGCGGTGTGGGACAGCACTGGTGCAATGCACTGCGGCACGATGCAGCTCTGCTCCATGCGCCCAGGGCCTCCAACCTTCTTCACGTCCTTGCAGAAGAGGCGCTCAGGCAGGCCTCGCACGTGCGGCATCGCATCCAGCGCCTGCAAGTTCCTGCAGCCAGCTTCACCGCAGAAGCCGGGCCCAGCTTGCCCTTGGGCCGACCCACTGCCCGGTTCTGGTCCGGCTCCGATTCATAGTCGTCGTCCTCAAAGCTCATGGACATGGACATGCCTCAAGGTGGACCCAGGCTCGCGCGTGCTGACTTGGCTGGAGAGGCACCGCAGGCCGCCGGGAGCAGCTAGGCTTGCCTCGGCTCCTTCAGGGCTCCCGAGCCACGAGGCGGCAGCTGCTGCCCTGTGCATTGCACGCTGCGCTGGAGGGGCCTAATTATACAATATTTTTACTACTAGACAAGGGCTCTCCTCGGCTATGCTCTGTGGAGTTTCATTTCTCAGCAAATGACACTGAATAAAGAGACACATGGTTGTTAAGGATGCTTAAAATAAGTGATAACTGAGTGTTTAGCCTTAAACAAGACGTTTATACCCTTTCCGCTAAAACTCTGGGAACGTCCTAGAAGAGAGGGTGGAAATAATGTAAGATCTAGAAGATATACAGAAAGGCTGTGAAGTGCAATTTTCTGGGCATGATTGCAATCATAATGTCAAAACAGCCGAGGCTGCCTGTGCTGGACCTGGATAATGGTCCTGTCGTCAATCAATCATCAATCAGACAGGAGCTCAAAGGCCTCATCTTTCCCTGTTGAACTATTGGCTACTGGTGAATTCTGAGAGAGGGACATCTATGTCTTCAAGTTGGTGAAACCAAAAGGCTCCAATGGACAATTCCAAACCCATGGTCACACACTGACTTGGTTAAACTCAGTGGGCCATGAAATAATCAAAATAAATGAATATAATCAAGGGACTTGTACAGGATAAGGGAGATTGATGGGGATGGAAAGGATAGGAATCAGTTGGGGAAATTACAGTAATCAGAATATTTTATACATTTACTTAATTGCCAATGAAAAAAATCAATAACATTAAGAAAAATAACTGTTGAATAATTTAAAATTGCAATTATAGAGGCACAACTTTGTGTTTGCTAAAATGTGAATATAGAAAATAAGTTAAAATACTGAAGAAAAACAAATTGTATCCGATATAAAAAATTCAATAATCCAAATAAATATTTCAGTGGAAAGCTCCACCAAGCATCCCATGTAGAGAACAGAATATCAAGGCTTGAGTTTGGGTGTGACAATGCTTCCAGTATTAGTCCACAATTTTTTATCTTTCAAAATTTTCATTTCTTATATATGTTATATGAATAAATTTTATGTAAACTATTTGTGTTGAAGATGTACTAAATATTGCTTACAGATACAAATAGTCACAAAATTGGTAGGGGGAGCTAACAGGACAGATTTGGAATGGTGTTAGGGAAAGGAAATTTCTTTAAATAAAATCTACCTAAAGTTACTGTGACACAGCCAATCTGTCAAGAATTTCATGACTGTTTTAATCAAGGTACCACCCAGATATAACCACAGCTTGTTACAGGGTCAGAATTAAATGCATACATTTCTGTCAGGGTACAGTGGCAGTCACCTTGGTTTGTAATTACTCCCACAGAGGTTTGGATTCCCAGACCTCACACAAATGTACCCCTGCCAAGTGGGCATATTGTTAAAGGAAGTGAAAGACCAGTTGCAGAGGGAAATACACCATTACAGAAAAAAGCCTATTTAAAATCTTCAGTTGTAAATACGCCTTTGAATATTCCAACCCTTGTACTAGCTATGCATTAGGAAAGGTAAGTGAAATATTATGAAAGAAAATTCATTAAAATTTATTTTATTGAAGATGAAATTTTAATGTGTTAGTCAGTTGGAAGGCTTTGGCTTTTGAGGCATCAAATCCTCCCAGTGAAAACTCACTTAATACCATTTCATGATGAACTGGAATCAATGACTCCTGTGAGGAAAATTTACAGGAAATATACTCTTAAAATTATACTGTAGAAAAGTGTGCCATTATATTATCTATGGTCTATTATAATGGTTACAATTAAGAAAAATTATTCTGATCATTCAAAAAACTCATCCTATTATTGAAAATAACAGAAAATCTAATAACTCATAAGATTTTCAGATT